AGCGCCGGCTTTATGCTAATGAAGCCCGGGAAATTTAAATCCCGGGCTTCATTAGCAAGTTCGGTATGCATACATTACCCCGCTAGTTCGAACTAGCGGGGTAGTGTAGACATACCCACAGAGAGAAATAATTAGCTTCTCTACAGCTTTAGCTGAGAGTCAGCTGGCTTTTAGCTCATGCTGAAGAGGCTCCTGCACTAAGTTCCAGAGGTCCTAAATTTGGTTCTGCCTGCTGGCATTACAAGTGGTGGCTCATCCAGGATTTCAACTGGAATGTCTCTGAAGCTTGGGATGCACTTCCTCAGCTAGAGGAAGTATGTAATCTACACATCTATAAGGTGTGGTTCACTGTCCCATCTGGTGGCACTTAGACCACTCACAGTGAAGAAGAACCCTCTGTAGCAAGGGTGGGCAATAAAATGGCAGCAGTTCGCCAGTGTTAGCCCTGGTGAGCCTCTGCTACTATATTTATCTGCATATTTATATTTATATTTATTTAGGGTTAGTACGTCCAGGTCAAGGCAGAAGCATGTGTGAAGTGAGGCTGCTGAAACTTGAACAGGGGTATGTCTTGTCTGTCTCTGAAGAATTCCAATCTGGCCCCCTATCTTCACAAAATTTACTTCCATGCTCTGTTGATCATGCTAACTCCCAATTGGTTTCCACTAAGTGGGTATCAACCTTTTTCCTCCTCCTGTCCCGTCAGGTTTCATATTTCCTTACCTCTAAGGGGGTAAAGCTGTGGTTCTCCAGAAAGGACAAGCCCGTGACAGGGACCAAGAGGAATTCCAGACGAAAGGAGTCATGCTCTCTGTCAAATGTTTTGTGGAACTTCATGTAGATCATATACACTGTGATGTAGGCACACACCAAGAAAATGACCTGTGGAGGTGGGAAGAGTGAAATAGCAAAAAAGTTCTTTTGAAAGACATTTACTTTACCTCCTATTGTCTTCTCCACTTAAAAGGGACTGGCTTACTTGCTTGCCTAGCTTAAGTGCTGCTTTTAAGCCGCTGGTGGGGTGGAAGTTAGAATTCTGGGCTGCCCCTTGGAAGACCTAGGATTGATTCCCATCTCTGTCACTATTCCTCCTGGGGATGCTCTAGTGACTGCGCTGCATGACCTTAGGAGTTCTAGCTCCTGTATTACCATGCAGAAGACCAGGTCTGTCTTCTGGCTACTTTAGGCCTGAGAGGAGGTCTTGGTATTAATGCTCCTGCTGTGCAGGAGACCCAGGTCTGAAACCCAGTCTCCTGCTTCTGGATTTGGTAGGCACTAACAAGGCAATGGAATCAGCTTGTTGGAGCTGGTGTCCATGGTGAGTGGACTGTTGTCATTTGTCTCTGGTCAGTGGAGGAATGGTGTCTATAAAGGACAGTTTTATCCCTTCCCTGCCAAAGGGAAATTAACAGTAATTTTGGGGGGCCTTGTAGAAAGTTCTCCCCAACATTTAAAATCCAAAATTGGTGAATGTCTACCATCACCTCCTCCAACTAACTACAATGAGGAGACTATGGGGTTGCTTGAAGTAGGGCTTCTGCAATGGCTCCCTGCTGTTACCTTCATCACGGTGTTATAGACTGAGATGAAGATGGTGAACAGGTCAAGATAACGGGTCGTGAAGACAAGAGCGAAAAGGATCTGGCTCTTCCCGGAGATACCTACACATCAAAGGAAGGAATGGGAGATAAGATGGGTGAGAGGGGAAAAGTTTGGAGATGCGAACTGTTGTTGAAAACTCCATGTGCACATGCCCCCTCTTCTCTTGTGAGTAACAGTTCACAACAAAAAAAAATCCTTCAGCCTTATTATCTGGTTCTGTTGTTGTGTTTGTAGGACAATAATGGTTATATGAAGTGGACAGACAGGCAATCCTACAAGACAGAGAGATCCCCACCTGATACCCAAGAAAGCAGCTACGTGTACAGTCAAATGAGTTCACTGAACTAAAATGAAAATTGACGGAAAGAGAAAATAGCTGTTGCCATTAATATTTGACTAGACCCATGTTTTCCCTCTCTGCTTAAAGTCATGCTAAAACTAGTGGGCAGGAGCTCAACAGAGCCATGCATGGCCCAGTAACTGATCACTTGGTCCCGACCTACTAGGGAGTACACAGAGCATCACTAACCACCCTGTGTGAGATCAAAGCAGTGCAAGTGGAGAATGGGGCTGAATTACTACGGAGGAGAGACAGAGCCAATGTGTTTAAAAACATTTATCTTGTGTTGTGTTAATTGAGCTTGGCACGGGTGAAACTTGCCAGATTGACAGAACAGGTCTTATGTGGGCAGTGGCAGGTCAGGATTCCCCTGAAGCCACCTCTAATAGGGCACGTTTCCTTGCAGGGCCACCATAGCGAGTGGGCTCCGAGGTCAGCACCCAGATGATAATAGCTTTCAGCCGCCAGTGAACTTTGGGGCAAAGCTGAGGAACACTAATGAAGGGGCTGGGCTATGGAGGTGAAAGGATAATGAAGACTCCAGGAATTAGAACTCTACGTTCCGCCTCTTTCAGCAGCCCAGAACTTGTTAATGCTAAAACTGTTCCCTTTCCTAGTACCCAGGGTCATCTTCTTGCAGAGAGCAGCTCAGCTGGGAGAAGGGGAGGCTCCCTGTTAGCTTCCATGGCCTAGCACTTATTGCAGGGGAAAGGACATTACAGCTCAGTTCTGTTCCCAGCTCCGTCATGCACTTGCTTGGTGACCTCGGCCAAGTGGCTTCACCCCTTTCTGCCTGGGTTTCCTCATTTGTAAAATGAAGCTAACCCCCCCTTGCAGGGTTTTGAGGCTACAGGAAGGTTTGTAAAGTGCTTTGAAATGCTGAGAAGGTACAGGGTATTATTACAGTTACTCTGTATCATCTGGCCTGCAGATGCAGCTCCGGGAGTAGGGGGGAGGGCCAATCTTTTATTGCCTGGAATGTTACACCCCTGCAATTCGGTTGCCCTTTAGCAGGGTATGTCTCATAGCCTCTCTTTGTTTCTTTTGCCTAGAAAGGTTTTTACAGCTGCACGCGTGCTAACCCCTCCTTGCCGTTCTCCGTACCCAGAGACAACAACTCTTAGTTATTGCCACCCTAAGATAAGCAGCACTTGTGCTCGGAACGAATGCATTTTGCCGCTCACTGCCACATCACAGCATCCTCCCCTCAATCCACATCTCTGTCCCGCCTTCCAACGGAAATAATACCGAGCTGGGATGGCTTTGCTGGCCCCTGTGTATGTGTGTAAGGGGCCTAATCTGGGACCCACATAAGGGGGGGAAGGAGGAAGATAGGGAAGAAGTAGTAAGATGGCAGCATGGAAGAGATGGAGAGAGGGAGATTTAATTCTTCCTAGGAACCCAATTATGGAGGGCACAGAGACTGCTTCTAATTCGGGAGCTTTTGAGTCTCCCCACTCACTGCCCTTACCTCATCTCCCCATTGTCTTCCGTTCAACAGCCAAAGCCACTTGGCTCCTTTCTTCCCAAACATGCACCCGCACACATGCACACAATTGTGGGGGAGAAAACTCACCAGCACAGGACTTGGATCTCCAGATCTTGACCAGTAATATGATCATTGCCAGCAAATGGGAGACATCTCCCAGGATCCGGAATATATTCATTGCTCCAAAGAATTTCCCAGGGGCAAACTAATCAGTGTGGTTTTGAATAGCAGGGAAGGTTGGGTTGTTCGCTTGGTTTCTCCCAAGAGAGTCTCTCTGCTACCTGGTAAAACTCTACAGTGAATCTTTTCCTTTTTCTTTCCTGGATCAGTTAAACTCTCCCAATTAAACTTTCTTTCTCTGGGAGTATGAAGTCCCCTGTTCTTGTCTCCTGGCAGCTGAGTTAACTCTTGCTTTCCTAGCATAAAAACTTTCTCCAGTAATATTTTTGTCTCCAGAATGAATTGGACCCCTCACTCCTTCTCCTAGTGTACTTAATCTCAGTTCTATGAGACACAGTTTCTACCTACTCTCTGATCTCCCTGCAGCCCTCTTCCTCCCGTGTGCCAGTGCAAAGTAGGGGATTGTTCCCCAGAATGTCCCACCCTGCCCAAGTCTGCTTAGCTGTCCTAGTGCAGGCATGGGGTGACGTGGCTCCTGTCTGCATGGGAAGGGCGGAGGAAGAGGCGGGAGAAACTCAGCTGAGCTCTTTTCTTTCTCTTTCACCACTTCGTCTTCTCAAGTTACAAGCCGAAAATTCCTTAAAGGGGAAAAGGCAGATGGAAATGATCAGCCCTTGTCAGAGGCCTAGAACCTTTAGAGATGGAAGAGATCCATTAGGTTGCATCATGTTCTTACCCTGGTCTGAACAGGGCAAGTTGTTTCTTGCAGTACAGTTTCTGAGGCTTTGTTCTGTCTAATTTTAAAGGCCTGCAGAAGTGGGTTTTGCCTGAGTGCCATTGGCAGGTTATTTCCCCCTCTGACAGAGGTCACTGGTGGGAAAAGTGTCTTGCCATTCATGCAGAATCCCCCTTTGCTCAGTTTTGTCTCTTTAGTCACCTGTGGGCAGAGTGTTTAGAATGTGGCAAGTGGAGTGTTACGTGCCTGCGGTGCTAGTAGTGTGGTGATTATTGTCTGTTGCTTCTCATTGTAACTTCCTGATTCATTCCCCCTCTTGCCCTGGTGCTGCTTCCCCTCACGAATCACAGAGTTTAGAAGGGACCACAAGGGTCTCCTCGGCTGTGTCTGCACTGCACCCTGACCTAAAAAAAAGCGATACAATTTGCGTTGTGCAAATTGCGTACCTTATTTTGAGATTATTTCAAAATAAAGCGCTATTCCGACGAGTCCCTTAATCCTCGTGGAACGAGGGTTACAGGGACACTGGAATAACTTGCCTGTTATTTTGAAATAAATAATGGGCACATTTAAAGACGTGGAATTGCTATTTCGAGATACTTCTGGTATCCTGAAACAGCCCCGCTGTCCAGACATAGTCCTAGTCTAATGCTGTGCAGAGAGGCAGGACTACTTGTGTCTGAACCATCCAAGACAGAGACCGATCCAGCCTCCTAATGAAAACGGCCAGTGATGGCGCCTCCACAGCCTCTCTGGGCATCTGTTCCACTGTCCTACTGTTCTTTTTCGAGCGCTTGCTCATGTCCATCCCAAGAGCTGTGCATGCTGTGTTCACAGTCATTGGAAGGTGTTTCCTGTAGTGGTCCCTATCAAGTCAGTTGAGGAGCCCCCTGGAGTGGCACCTTCATGCCAGTGTATATAAGTTCCTGCCAATCCACTGCCTGCTCAGTTCCTCCTTATCACCTGTGATGGTTGTTGGAGCAGCGTAGTCCCTGGCATTCACAGTGGTTCTCCTTGTAGTTAGTTGTCAATAGTTCTTAGAGTTGTAGTTCTTAGTTAGCTAGGCTTACTTTGGGGGGGAGGGTTCCTTCTGTGATGGAGTGAGGTCACAGACAACCCGTTGAGGGTGGTTCCTGGGATGCTAACAAGGTCACTGCCACCCTTCTTTTTGCTCTCTGGGGCTTTTCACTGCCCTGTCTTGCTGGGCCAGCTCCCTGATCTCCCCCAGTAGAGGCATAGGGCTGAGAATCACGCCTTCTCCCCCCACCACCGCCAGAAGCAATGCAGACTCTGAATCTCTTCAAGGCCAAAGAAAATGCAGTTTGGGGCCCAGCTTCCTGGGATACCACTCCCCAAATAGGATCAAAACCCCAAATGAATTATTTGGGTAAGCCCCCTTTAATAATGAAAGGAAGAGGTACACACTGATCCCCCCCACCTGCCATGATAATTATTTACACTGGGTTTGCAAGAAAATAAAAATGATTTTATTAAGTACAAGCAGTAGGATTTAAGTGGTAATAAGTGAGAACAGGCAGAGCAAAGTAGATTACAAACTCAAAATAACACACAATGCTTGGCTACTTTTACACTAAATCTTCAGTACAAACTTATTACAAACTCAGCATAAAACTGTTTCTTTCCCGGCTAAGTCTTCCAAACCAGGGAAATCTCCTTTTCCTTGGGGTATCTGGTTCCGGCCTTTGGGTGTGCCACACCAGCCAGCCAAAAAAGACCTACATTCCTACTTTCCTATTCTTTTTAAAGATTCTCTTTTTGCATAGGAAGTCACCTGGTCTGTTGGAGTGGTCATGTGACATCCTCTGACCAACCACTGCTAAAACTTAAAAAACAAAAGTGATTGTTTAATAGTTGGTCATCAAGACGTTGAGGGTAACACCCAGGAGGGCTTTCATTCAGACATTTAAAACCATAAAGCACTCCACACTCCATGGCTACGTATACACTGGCCCCGTCTCTGGAAGAGGCATGCTAATTTCAAACTTTGGAATAGGGAAATCCGCGGGGGATTTTAATATCCCCCACGGGATTTAAATAAACATGGCCGCCACTTTTTTTCCGGCTTCGGGAAAAGCCGGAAAAGAGCGTCCAGACTGGCGCAATCCTCCGGAATAAAGCCCTACACACACACACACACACACACACACACACACACACACACACACACACACACACACAACCTGTGCCCAGGGGTGACATGGATGCTGCTTCTCTTAAATGCCTGGCAGAAGGTCATCAGACAGCAGGCTCTGGGCCCAGTGATATAAAGGGGCACAGACTCCTGGCCATTGCTACTGTGGTGGTGATGACTGGCCCCTTTAGAATCGCCACCAGAGTGCTGGGCAGTGCACTTGCTCTGGCTGGCTCTGAGGACCGGCTAGGTGGAGCCCCTTCCACCTGAGGCCATGCTCCTTCTGGGAGCATGGAGCTGTTACCCCAAAATATTCCCACTGGAGACCACCCAGGGTTACACTAGCATGGGTTTATTGTTTGAGGAATTAGCACTCCACTGTATGCACTACAAAAATAGAGCTGCCACCAAAGGTTTAAACTAAACAGGAACCAGCTATCTATCTCTCACACACACCAACAAGCACACCCACCCCTCCATTCATTCACTCATTCACACACATTCATTCCTGCCCTCAGGCACTTACACACTTACACAGGCATATGGGTTGTAGAAGGAGCCAAGGCATGTAGATCCTGGAGTGTCTGTCTGCTGGTCACGGCTGGGCAGCTGGGCAGGAAAGAGACTTGCTGTAGACTTGCGTCTCAGAATCAGGGGAAGAAAGAGAGAGTCTCACATGTGCTTCCTCTCCTTTTATATTGTGTCTGTGTGGCTCCTTTGACTCATATACCTCGTCACCAGGGAGCATGCCCAGATTTCCCTTCATCCAGCAAAGCAACAGTCTCTGATGATGCATCACCATGTGCTCCAGCCTCAGCATTGCAACTTCAAACACACCAGTCTGTTTTGTGCAGAAGGAACCAACAGCAGCAGTGAACTCACGTGCTACTATCTGGGCTTGTGCCTTTGGCTCCTAGGAAAAGTCATTGAGAATTCTGGAGATTTTAGACTCTGTCTTTATCTGCCTGCTTCAGATATTATGGATCTTTTCCTGCTAGATTTTAGGTCTGAATATGCCATGTCGGCTACACTCTGAACTGATGGACCATCTAGTCTAGTGATGGCAATGGTTAGAGAACCATGCGCAGCTGGAGATTAAGACAGTCTGTGGCAGCCCTCATAGAAAATTAAATGCCCCCCCATCTGCAGGACAAGGAGAGTGTAGGTTGCTCCTTAGACAGACCCCAGTGAATCATGTTCCAACAATAGTACTGCTACTACTAATAAATAATCGTAGCAGCTAATCTCTCTTCATTGAACACAAAGCCACAAGGGGAAACTGTGGGAACACACTACAAACTGAGATGCCATCAGGGCTCAGCTCTCTGCCTCATGAACAATCTGGCCTCCCTGGCTTCCCTCCAGAGGCAGTGCCTGTGAGGAGCTGGGTGAAAAGCAATTGGCTACATGCTGACTCAGGCAAGATGGAAGTGATATCAGTGAGAAGGGGAAAACACAGTGGGTCTGGCTGAATAGGCGAGCTGATTCCTGCATGGAAAGTGGCTGACCTCTGTTGGTGAAAAAATTATGCAGTTTCAAGGTCATGATACCATCTACATGTTTTGTTAGTCTTTAAAGTGCTACCAGACTATTTGTTGTGTTTTAAGTTTATCCTGTACAGACTAACTTGGCTACCCCCTCAAGCTTTCACGGTCCTGTTCCTATTCACGCCTCTCCCAGATGCTCAGTAGTGGCCAAAAGTGCCCTGTATTGCTTCTGACTAGCTGTATCGTTCTGCCTATTCCAGTCCAACGCAGACTAACAACAGTGATTCATGCATGTGTTTCCCCAATGTAATGTACTCCATCTTGGGCTGACAGGCCTTCCTCCCAACCGGACCTTCAGATTCTGGGCCCAGTTCAAGATCCTGGTCCTTAGACCCTGGTTTTTTTTTTTTTTCAATGACTGCCGCTCCACCTACTCTCCAATACTTCTGCTATATTCTGTAGGTTCATTGTGGCTGACAGAAACCACATTTGAATGTGTTACAGTGGGAATAGGGCATTCTCCGAGGAAGGCCTACATTTATGAGACTCACTTCTATAGGGCATCGTAGTGAGCTTGAATATCTCTACCTTTCGATCCTATCACATTCAGTGGCAGCCCGTCAATACAAGCGAACTAGGCGGTTGCCTAGGACGCCAAGATAAACGGCCGTTGAGGGCTTTGGAGGCGGGGGCGCCGATCGTACGCTAATCGCACTTTTCGCCTAGGGCGCTATTTGCCTGCAGCTCATCTATGACCACTCCTGATCACATCCACATACCCGTTCAAAGTTTGCGTTGCCTCCAAAAGCCAAGACACCTTAGACAGAGGGAGTCAACTACCTCCACCGTCTCAGAGTGGAGATCAGCTTAATAGGAGAGCTCTTCCTTCAGAGGCACATTTTCTAGCTCTGAATCTTGTAGGGAACTCTCATACAACAGTGAGATGAGTACAGCCTATAAATAAATTACCCAAGCCAAGAGGAATAAATTGTCCCTGACTCAAGACATGCCATTTTTCATCCCAGCCCTCCTCTATCCTTATCTGGCTCTCTGATACCAACTCAGTCTTGCTGTTTTTAAGAGCAGTGGGTGTTCCCGTCCGCCCCCTTTGATGCTCCTTGAATACAGCTCTTCCTCCTACCAGGTGTTGTTGTAGTAAGCAGCAGGAAATGATAACATGATTGTCTG